GCACACCGCCCCTGTCACGTACATACGACAAAACTTTCATATTCGCACCCGACACATTGCGCCCCCTCCTCCACCTCAATATCGTACACGAAATTAAGAACTGTACAATACAAGAAGTGTTACACAATATATACGCAATCCATTTATAGGCTATGTTCCTTCGATACAAGCTCTGTGTAAAATCAGGGTTTATTTTCACATTGCTTTTCGCTTTTTTCGCGTTACCGGTCATTTACTTTGTTAGGCGCATTTCGACGGTTCACTTATTGCGTAGAAGCAGCTTGGATCAAAGAGAACCTTGACCTTAGATAATGGATGCGTCGATGAGAGATAGCTGCAAATAATTTGAGCTATCAGAGGCCTGATCATACCGGCGAATAAAGCAGCCATCTTTATGCCGCGTATTAATCTCGTGTCGACCCACGAGATATGTTACTCAGCGTTGTCGCATTCGTATTTCCTGTTCTTTGTCCTTTTGGCAGCGTAACCGTTAACGTGTCGATAATTGTGAATTCTGAAACGATCCTAGTGCGACGAACTTCTCTCGTTTATGACTAACGGAGCGATACTAGTTTTAAGCCCGGGAAATGTTGCAGCGACATCTACGAAAAGGAAATAAACGTCCTCGCTGTCTTATGCGGGATAACGAATTCTCGACTTTCGGTTATGGATTTGAATTTTCAACGTACTATCACTCTCGTTCAAGCGACAATGTTAAATAAGGGATTGCGTGTAACTGTCTTGTCTGCACAGCGTGTACGCATCGCGTGGGGCTATTTACGTACTAGGCAATAATTCCCACGTGTATCGGTGGCTCGTATCCGTTTGCACTGTCCTGTTCTGTAAAAAAAAATATTACACGTTTGTTTTTATTAAACTCCAACACTCTGCACCGATCGGTAGAGAATCGTATATATCGGTACTGCTTGAAGCGTCAGTTCTTTTTAACGGCGTTCTTAAACACTATTAATTTGTGGAGAAAAAGGTTAGCCTTTTTTTTTCCTTTTCTCAACCATCCTGACCTCCCTCGACGTGCGGCATACGTATGCGTTGCTCATGAATTACAAGCAGATGCGATATTTAGCTGCATGCTTATCAGATTACATCAACAGATACCACCTACATATCATTGCGTCGCTTGAGGGAATAAGAATTCGATTGAAATTTATAATCGTTTATAGAATGATACGAGAATTAGTGAATATACGGATGAGATGGAAATGGTATAAGGTAGAAGGGTTGAGAATGAGAGAGTGCGCATGTTGTGTGTGTGTGTGGTAGAGAGAAAGAGAGAGAGAGAGGGAGAGAGAGAGAGAGAGAGAGAGAGAGAGAGAGAGAGAGCTTAGAGTTCATTCTAGAGTTTTATCAATGTTGATATAGTTGAATTAAGTTTTTAACGATAACTCCTTCTAGTAATATTGTATGGATATGTAGGTCGTGACCTAAATTATTAGTTTATTTCTCGTTTGGCGTGATGCACGCGATCCCCACGTTAACGGACGATGATATTGGTGACGATGACGACGGTGTCCCTTCATTTTATTATTGTCTGTGAGGGGGTAAAATAGATTTTGTGAAAATTTATATCTCTTTCCTCAGTGCGTTTTTTTCCTTTCCGACTCCACCCCTCCCCCCCCCCTCTCTCACCCTCTTACCTCGTACCAGATCGACTGTAGAACGGCGTGCCTCGCTGTTCTTACCGACTTCACGTATAAAAATAAGTTATTTATTTTAGAACGCTCTTGACAGTGGCAACCTACGGGAGAAAGGAAGAAACAATGAAAGGGAAGCGAGAGAGAGAGAGAGAGAGAGAGAAGAAAGGCGAATCCACGGGATGACAAGCCGTCTGCGCATGCGCGTCGGTGTACAATATCTAATCTCTTATTTCCATCAGTAGTTTCCTTCTCTCGTCCTGCGGATACCGACGGTGTAACACGTTAAAAGGGAAACGGTGGATGGTTGAATCGTGTGGGGATGTACACGTGAAACTAAAGGGAAAAGGTAGATTTCGCTTGACAAGTTTACTGATTTACAACCAGCTCGCCATTCAATACCGGCACTTTGTCGTTGGAAAGGAATAAATTCAAAAATTACGTGAACGCAGGTTCACTGTGATGCATTGTTAATGCCGTGAATAGTCATTGCTAATTATTATTACTATTATTATTATTATTATTATTACTCATCAGCACCCTCGTGACATCACAAGTTCTCCCTGTTGGCTTGACGACGTTACGGAGCAGCTCTCTTTCGAATTTCAGATCAGAAGAACGAGAGACATTGGACGTCAATGTAAAAGATTATTAGAGTGGGAGAGAAGAAGAGAGTGATGCACGTGTGCGTGTGAGAGAGAGAGAGAGAGAGAGAATGGGATTGAACGTAAATAGGTGCCGAATTTATCTACGAATGAGAGTACCGAATTGATAAGAATAAATATATTTTTAGAATGACCGCATAACACGGATACCATAGAGACGGTTTTTGAATGGCGTCGTCTTGAAAAGTAGATTGTTGGTTATTTATCTCGTAACGACTTGGATTTTATTCAATAAAATGATTATTCATGGAAACTTCGAGTCCGCCACAATCGATATTCGTTTGTCCTTTGTCTTTGCGATACATCGTCTCATTTGTTATTTATCAATTTTATTAATAATTAACATCGTTATTGCTGTACCAGGCAAATTATAAATTGGCTTCTCGTGACCCTGGATATGACGGTGATTATGATGACGATGAGGAGGAGAAGGAGGAGGAGGAGGATTATTAGTACGACGATAGAAGACCATGGAAAAAGAGCAGGAAAACGAAATAGCAGTGTTTCATTTTTATCTTGTTTTTTTTTTTATCGCAGACAGAATGGATGAGAGAGAGAGAGTGAAAAAAATGGAAACATATTAATTTCAAGCTATGAAAAAATAATCAACCGTAATTTTTTTTTTATAAATTTCCCAAAACGACCGGACACCATTCGAGCATCGAGAAATAAAAATTGAAAACCGGAAGCGACGTATTACGTGAGAAAGAGAAAATACACCGAATACAATGCCGATATGTATGGGGGAAGAGCCCGTGTATAATACTGAAAGTCTATATATAAATATTATATATATATATATAAATATAAATAAATATAAATACATAATACATATATATGAAAAAAACAAACTAAATTACATATATATATATATATATATATATATATATATATGTGCAAATTAATTTTAATAATAGTTAATAACAACATTGCTGCTGTTGTGTAAAGAAACAAAGAGGACGAGGAGGTGAAGTGATTCGAAAAAAAAAGAATTGACACTTATATATATACGAATAATGTCCTAAATTGAATGGCGTCATCATTACCGTCATCGATCGATATGTACCACCCACTTTATCACCCTATCATCCAATCGCAAAATCGGAACACTCGGTCCAGTGTCCACCTATCGGCAACCCTTTGTAATCCCAACCCTTGCCCGTCCTTACCATTCATTCGCACTATCTCGTAAAGTCTAGTTGCAACTAAGTGTATTCTTTGTTTATAAATGAATAAATTAATTGATTACATAGATGTATGTATATACCGGATTACACGTGGACACGTTAACACTTTCGAAATTGAATAAGAGGCGCATATTAAATTATTTATATATATAAATATATATATATATAAATATGAAAGGTATAGATAAATAAAAGTATATACGTATATATGGGGCTTTAACGTAAAAAAAAAGTTAGTACCTAGCTAATCGCCATTGCCATCGCCGTCATGCTTACTTATTTACAAAATTGCTAACCCCTTTCGACATTCTGACTAAATCGGTAAGCGCCGAAGGCTTTTTCTTCGTTACCGACGCTTCATTGTCTAACCGCGAGTCGTCGGTACGTAAAAATGACAACTTTAATAGAAAATAAAGACGAAATTAACGCGCGAAAGTTGTCGAGTGCGTGGGACAAACAAAAATGTAACGATTGCGTAAAAAAAAAATATGGATTCACGCAGAAATTATACTGATGTTTAATATCTCCATGTGACCCGTATAAAGATTGTCGACGATTATTCAGGTTATGTCGAGGCTGCATCCAAAGCGACGGGCACCCGATTTGCTATGAGTAAATGTTAAATTACGAGTAAAATTTGCCCTCGACCATTTCTGCGCCCATTTCTATGGGGGGACGTGACGATAGTAATTCGATGAGCCATGGAAGCTGGAAAAGAGCAAACTAGGAAAAGAGAACGGGTGACGTGACAAGAGTTCAACTATAAAGAGGGACTCAAAGGTCCTGGCGACTGACGTGTAATTACGGATGCGCCATTACACACTTGTTCGTCCGCATGCGATTTACGTAATTTTCGACATACGTCCCCTAATGATATTCTACCCTTGGTGACGACCCCCCCCCCCCCCCCCTCCC